AGTATCTCCTCTATAGATTTGATTTGGTCAGGGTTGACCTCGATGCCTTGTTGTGATACTAGGAAGCACAGGAATTTCCCTGAGGTCACGCCGAATGCGCACTTTTCAGGATTCAATTTCATTCCTTATCGCTTGAGTATGTCGAAGGCCTCCTTCAGGTGATCGATGTGATCCTTTTTCCTTTTGTACTTGACCAACATATCATCTATGTAGACCTCCATGGTTTTGCCGAGATCTTTGTCACCAACCTATGATACGTCGCCCCCGCATTTTCAGTCCGAAAGGCATCACCCTGTAGCAATACGTTCCTTGGTGGGTGATGAAAGTGGTCTTCTCCTGGTCTTCCTCCTCTATTAGGATCTAGTTATAGCCTGAGTATGTGTCTAGAAAGCTTAGCAGCTCGTGCCTGGCAATTGCGTTAGTGAGCTGATCGATATGGGGTAGCGGAAATGAGTCTTTTAGGCAGGTTGTGTTCAAATATGTGAAGTCCATGCACATCCACCATTTTCCGTTCTTCTTTTTCACCATGACCACGTTGGCAACCCATTGGTGGTATTTTGACTCCCTGATGGAGTCATTTTCCAGCAGCTTTTTAACCTCCTCGTAGACTACATCATTTATTACAGAATTGAACTTCCGCCTAATTTATCTTATCGGGGGGTAAAATGGATCGACATTCAGCTTGTGTGTCGCTATCTCCTTTGGGATACCTGGTATGTTTGCATGGGAAAAGGCAAACAACTTTGCGTTATTAGTTAAGAAATGATGAAATTTACCTGGTTCCTGAAGCTTGTGGTCGATGTAGGCTTTCTTGCTGTGGTCGTTATCATCAAGTTGGACGAGGTCAAGGTCTTCTATGGTTGATCCCGTGGCTTCTATGATTTTGGGGTCTTTTATCACATCCTTCCTTTAATCACTGCTCGACCTCGACCCTATTGATTGTTATGCTTCTTTGGCTTTGCCCTTCATTTGTTGGGTGTATGTACAATCCTGGGCGATGTGATAGCATTATCAGGAAGTGCATTGTTCTCTTTGGATGCTGTATACCCCCCATGGGGTGGGAAATTTGATGACTTGGTACAAGGTGGAGGGAATAGCCTTCATGGCATGTATCTAAGGCCAACCTATTATGGCGTTGTACGCCGTGTCCTGATCCACGATGTGGAATGTGGTTTCTAGGGTGATGTCGCCGGCGAGGATGGGGAGTGTGATTTCTCCAGATGTTCGTTCAACTGTATTGTTAAAACTGGTTAGTGTGATGCAGCGTGGCACTATCTTATTCTCAAGTTTCATTTGTGCAAGTAATCGAGGGTGGATAATGCATGCGCTGCTCCCATCATCCACTATAATTCATCTCATATTTGTATCTAATATGCGTAAAGTGATAACAAGAGCATCATAGTGAGGAAAAACCAAACTGTGGGTATCTGACTTATCGAAAATGATACTTTTTTCGAGTTCGTCGTACTGTTCATGAGTGATTGACTGTTTGAGTTTGTGGGTGGTGGTGAACTTTACGCTGTTGATTGATACGTCATCGCCCCCTTCGATGATCATTTGAATGGTTCGAGTTGGAGAAGGTGGTTTAGATGGGCCCTGGTGCTGTTCACGTCCTCGAGCGAAGTTGGCTCTTTCTCGGTCGCTCAACAGCTCTTTCAAGTGCCCCAGGTGAAGCATGTTCATGGCCTCTTGTCTTAGAACGATGCGGTCCTCGATATTATGGCCTCGTTCCTGATGGAATTCGCAAAGGGAGTTTGACTTCCTGGTGCTTGGGTCGGACCTCATCTTCTGTAGCTTCTTCACCTTTGGGTCGAGCTTCTCCAATGTGTAGACTATTTCTGAGGGTGGAACACAACAATTGTGAGCAGATAGTAAGGGAGTCATACCTCTCTCGTTTCGGTGAGTCCCTGTTTTTGGCCTAGATGGGCTTTTGTTGTGGTAAGAAGGCGACATGATGGCGCCTTTGACGTATGGTTGATGTCTTTCTCAGTTGGGTCGGGGACCTACTAGATCCCTTCTATTGTCATTTCTCCGATCCTTTCTGGACTCGGCTTGTACTGAGGTCAGCCGTTGGGTTGGTCCATTTAGGTCGTCTTCGTCAGCTCGAACTTCGGTGCAATAGGCAATGTGTATTTCGTCCCAAGTGGTTGGGGGATATTTCATGAGCCAATGCAGTAGCTTTCTGGTCGCCCTTGAATCACTTCTGTTCGACCCGTTCTAGAAAGCTGCCACAACCATTCCTTCGGATACATTTGGTAAGGTCAACCTTACGCGGTTAAATCGAGCGAGAAAGTCTCTCAGTCCTTCTCTAAGTGATTGTTTTGTAGAAAATATATCATTCACTCTTGTCTCCGGCATGGGCCGTTACGAACCTGTCGTCCATCTCTTCGAATGTTTCAACGAAGCACGCAGGCAATTGTGAATACCAAGTTAATGCACCCCCGGTAAGGTTTTTGCCAAACCTTTTTAATATGATGGAGGATACTTGCTCTTTGGTGAGGTCGTTGCCTTTTACTGCGGTGACATAGTGAGTCACATGATCCTCAGGTCTGTCGTACCGTCATATATTTTTAGGTACAGAGGCATTTTGAAGGTTTTGGGTATGGCATACGGTGCGGCTTCATCAATGTAAGACTGCTTGATAAACCGACCGGTGTCTCTTTTTGGTAAGAGTTTTGGGGCGCTTGGTATTTTGTCTACCCTTTCTTGATGCTCTTTCATTTGGTCTCGAAGCATTTTGTTTTTATTTTCCATATCTTCCATTATCCTTAAGATGGTTGTGAGGGTGTCATTTCTACATCATTAACATTGTCAGTGATACTTGTTGCGAGCAGAGGGGGCCGTCCTGTTCGACTGCTGTTGATGAAATACATATGCTTGCACCCTCCCCGATCACCTTTTGAGCGGGTTTGTCAAGGATGCTGGTCAACGTATTCGTCAGCCAAGTTTCGAGCAGCTTTTCCACCACTGGTGGTGCCACTTTCGTTGTGGACGTGGAGGCTCTTTTACCGTGGGAAGTTTTGATACTACCATGAGAAGGGGTGAGCCCCTTCGCTTGGGTGAAGCATTTGGCGTTACGTCCTCACCCTCCGTTTCAAAGACCTCGTTGATGGTATTTAGGAGGTTGGTGGTGAGATAGGCTACCGCCTTGATCCTTCCTACTCCATTACCTGCCATGTTAGATCTGTTTGCATAAAAAGGTGTGGGGTTTTGTGTTTTTTTAGTTATAGATCTGAAGGAAACTAAAACTTTGACTAAGAAATCCCCACAGACGGCGCCAAATTGTTCGACAAAAAAATAGGAACCTTTACTTAAACTAATTGATTAAAAAGATAAGGGGTTAATCCTAGTTAAAAATAATAATTTCAGATCTAAAATCGGTCTATGGGGGTTACGTAGGACAATGTCAGAACAGATCTAGTGCAATATGTATCAAATGTTCAAGGTCACTAATGAGGTGAGAATAACAACCATTAAATAACAATAAATGACACTAAATGTAAATATGGAGAATGATTCACCCAATATTGAATAAGATGGATGATGCTTCCTTCTGACAATGATGTATGACAAATAACTATGGGAATATTGGATACTTTCTCGGATATGATGTGAAAAGTGTAGAATAAACAACAAAATGAATATCTTTAGAAGGCAAATTACATAAGTTGCCACCTGACTATGTCCCAAGTCCCCCTTACACACTTTTTGTGGACGATAATAATATTACACACGCAACCTTTCTAAAGTGTATCAAGTACACACCTCCTTTGACCAGGTCTAAGCGTGTATAACACAAAATGGTAGAAGCGCGTGGAGCCTGGACAATATAAGTAGACGACTTCTGACTTTAATCAACGACCATAAACAAATCCCAACGACTAATTTTAAAAGAATAAAAGGGCCATTAACCCATTTCTTCTCAAATTGGACCCATATTCACCTTCTTCTTCCTCCTTGAAAGCTTGAAGTTGCAGAAAATTTCTTCTTCTTGATCTTCTTATGCGTTTTTCTGTTGCCAATATTACAATCTTCTTCTATTTCTTCCTTTTCTTTGTCGACATAAGGGTTCAATTTTAGGGTTAGGGGAAATGCATAATCTGAGAAAATTTTATTATTGTGGTGAAGAAGCTGTGGTGATACAGTCATGGAGTGTTGATAATCCGGGTCGTCGATTTTACGGATGTCCATTTTATGAGGTAAATATCAATTGTACTTTCATAATCGATTTTATATTCCTTAATAATTTTTTCTCTTCGATTTTTAGAGGGAAAGTTGCTCGGGATGTAGTTTCTTTGTGTGGCTTGATCCCCAACTCCAGAACACTTGAAAATTGTGATTTAGGGCTGCTTAAGAAGAAGAGGGAATTTGATGCATTATTGAAAGAAAATAGGAATCAAAGAAATCGGAGAAGATTGTGTGTGCTGATCTTAATTGTAATTGTATTGAAGTTGATTGTGTTTGGTAGTTCTAAAGATTGCTATATAATGTAAGAAAATGAATGAAGCTCTTTGGTAGATGTTGTATGCCTTTGTTAGAAATGAATGAAATTTTTTGCATCTGTTAATGTTGTTTTGTTTGTGGTTGTTGCTATGTGACCTAAAAATGCAGATAATAGAGTGCTTACACAGTTATATAGTGGCTGAAATTGCTGCCTAAAATACAGCTCAAATGCTGAAATACCAAAATAATAACACTAAAGAGAAGAATCTGCCCAGAAATTTTCAATTTAAAACACATTTCATCATAGAGTAATGGTGTTCATTATAGTCACCTAATAGTAGCCTGCCTTAACAAAAATATAGGTTGACATCTTAACAACATACCAAAGTAACAGCAGGCTGCCTTAACAAAAGAACAACATTCAATACCCCACTAAGCAGCAGTTCCAAAATAACCTATTAGCAATTCCAAAATAACTTAATAGTCACAATAACAACATTCGATACACAACTACATATATGTGTTCTTGGATGGCTGGGATAATGAACTTGCTTGACTTAGATTGGAATGGATGTAGCAGTTCTGGAATGAGATGCAGCAGTTCTTTCAAGTTGTCTTCTAGTAATGGCTGGTCTACCATTCCATTTTACTCCACTTGTTGGCTTATAGGCACATTCATGAATATCTGCCGAGGACCTCTTTTCACCATCATGAGAAATCACTCTTGGTTTACCTCCACCAGACTGCCAAAACAGAAAATATTTAGTGAAGTTGTTAAAGCAAACAAAATATAAAGTTAAGTTTGAAGTACTTACAGAAAAACTTGTGAACCCACTGCTTGATTGAAACAGCCCGAACCCAGAACTTCTAGTTCCTCTTCCATTACCTCTTCCTATTCCAGGGGCAGAAGTAGTTGAAGCTGAAGGTGTATTACTTCCCCTACCTCTACCAGTTCCTCTTCCTTTGCCAGCATCAACAGGGGCAGTTGAAATTGAAGCTCTAGGAGTAGTTGTTCCTGTTCCTCTTCCTCTGCCTCTTCCTCCATATCTTTCTTTATATGAAACATTTGCAGGAGTAGAATCTGCAGGCCTTGGTTTCTTGGGACAACTCCTTTTGCTGTGTCCATAGCCACCACAGTTTGAACATGTCATCTCCATACCCCTTCTTGAAAGCTTTCCAGACTTAGGATGTGCAGTTTCTTCTCTTCTTCTTTGATCTGCCAGACATCTTTGTAATTGGTGGGGGTTCAATTGGTGGATTGGTAGATGTTAGCCACATTTGAATATGCCTTCATATTAGTGGATTTTTGGTACCAGTGAGATATGTAGTTAATTGACTCAATGTTCTTGAAATGCATAGCAGCAATTGCATGAGCACAAGGGATACCCTTTAGCATCCATGACTTGCATGTACAACTTTGAGCTTACATATTCACACAGTGCTTCAATACCACTCTTAATGAGGTATCCTCAACCTCATAGCCATATTCACCATTCCACTTGATTGTACACCTCACAGACTGGGCCATGTTATCCTGGTACACTTTCATAGCAATTGGGGATATATCACATATCCATGTATCTGTAAACTCCCTCAACTTTCCTATTCTCTCCATCATCTTCACTCTGATTTCCTCCAACATTGTGATGATTGTCTTGTCTCTAGCAGCAGGTATCCAAGCATTAAAGGTCTCACACATATTGTTGTCAATTATATCACATTTCCTATCACAGTTGAAGTATGCTCTGCACCAGGTTTCCTTGTTATACCTCAAGAGGCTCTCACATATCCCATTCCCAAGCATATTCAAGCTATCCAGGTGGAAATCCAATTCTGCCACACATGATGCTCTAGCACACCTGCAGAAGTTGTTTCTCCTCTCTAATCCTCTCTAATCTTTGGACCAGTTTGCTAATATATGTCCGGCACACCACCTATGTTCACTTTCAGGCAACACTTCTGATACAACTTTAAGCAATCCTTGTAACATAAGAAGAATATATTAGTTGCCAACAGAAATAGAAATAAGAAAAATTAAATATTGACAGGAATGAAATCACCTTTTGCATATCAGACATGATAGTGAGATAATTTCCATCTTGAAGCTCCAAGTCATGAGTCACACGTTTCAGAAACCATGAAACTGTTCTCAATCTCTACAATGGCCCAAGCAATAGGGAACATCTGATTGTTGCCATCCTTTGATACTGCTACAACCAGTTGACCCTTACATATGCCTTTAAAAAAGCATCCATCAAGGCCAATTATCCTTCTACAACCGTCGGACCATCCTTTTTTCATAGCATAGAAGCACACATAAAATGAATCCAAGACAATCTTGCCTTCATCTTGATCATGTACCTTCACAACACAAGTTGTACCTGTATTTGTCTGTAATAGAATATATCTATAATGATAGTCTCTTGAACTCAGCATGCACATCACCTATTATCTCCTTCAGAATATTTGCTCTAGCTCTATGGACTGTAGACCTACCAACATACATGTCTAGTCCATCCTTAATGAGTTTCTTTAGCTCCCAAGCTTTCATAGTTAGTTGAGACAATCTAATCCCTATAATGCTTTGCAAGGTATCTGGAGTTGCAAAGCTTGTTTTTATTTGTTCTGTAACACTTGAGGACAGGACAATACTTTTTTACCTTAAAACTGTTGGATCTACCATCTTTGCTTGCAGCCAATAACCATTGACATTTTGAGTGCATGCATTTTACCATTACCCTACCAGGTTCATTAATATAATTTCCAATTTGAACTCCTTTCCGAATTGCATACTTAGTAACAACCAACCTAAAATCATCAACACTCTCAAATATCAGCCCCAAATCCCAAGTTATTTTCTTGATAGTTGGATCAAATATCAGGGCTTTCTTTCTCCTCTTGGCAGACATTTTCTCCTTATATTCTTCATCAAATTCATCTTCAACAACTAATGGAAAACTTTCAGCATCAGAAGACCCAAAATAAGGCTCATCTATCCCTACTAAGCCTTTGTACCTATTTTGATTGCTACCATTTCTTAATTTATCAAAACCAATATCAACCCCTACATCACCCAGGTTAATACCACCCATATCTTTTGGCCTTTCAGACCTTTTCCTCCTATATTTCCTCAGTTCATCCCTACACTCTGCAAATTCTTCATGAACATCAGATCCATAATCATTATCATCAGGAACATGTAAATCTACTCCATCACTCTCATCACTATCAAGATTATCAAAGTCTGATTCATTCTCATTGTCATTGTAAGCACGTGATTTTTGCTTCACGAGCAATCACTCCCAAAGGAAAACAAAAAATAATAGT